TCAACCAAGTCTTCCACCGGAGGCTTCACCCGAGCTGACTGAACAGCGGGATCATTGGCGACGACCGGGGCATGTTGGGCTCTGATGCTTCTTCTTCTTCCTCAACTTGAAGAAATTTTTGTTGAATGGCATTAGCATACTCCGCCATGTAGCTCGGGATAAAGTGAGAAGGGGATTCTGAAAACCTCGGTTTCATCCCCTTAACCGAGCTTCAAGACCGTTGCCTTCCACCCACACTTGAAGAAAATATCTTTAATAGCTTCACACTACAAGATGTATGTGGCTTCGCCTTCCTTGTAACCGCGGTCTTTCGCATCCTCCATCTTTTTCTCCAGCTCATTATCTCGGCATTTTTCTTCTTCTCGACCTTGACCAGCTCCAGCAGATAGCGGTCCTTCAGCTCGGTCAAGGCCTTTTGTTTGTCTGTCTTCGCCGAATCTACAGCCCGGTGAGTCGGGCAACTTTGATTGAAGCTCGGTCATTTTTTGTTTTGCTTCGTTTAGCTCGGCCATTTTTGTTTTGCTTCGTTTAGCTCGGCCGTCTTTGTTATAGGCCTCAGCCACAGCAAGCCTTGTCGTCTTGCGCAGCTCCAGCACATGTTTATGTGAAATATGCTTTTTCTACATGGCCTGCATGAGGACGTAAGCAATTTTGAGTGAAAACCGAGCTAACAGATGCACAAAAAGAAGAAAACAAAGGAAAAATACTCACCAACACCATCGATTTGTGGCCGAGCAGATGGCTTTCAGCTCGGTGAGATGATCATGGTGTTCCATGTTAGAGGGCAAGCACACGCTCTTAGCCAGGTTGAGGCGAGCGTGTGTCTTTGTCTGCCACCACTGAATCGGTGTCTCGAATGGCTCTGTTCCGGTAAGATAAACTTCGGGGCCCACTCAGAGGAGCTAGCCGGTCAGAACGCTCAGGCTATAGGCTCGGTGGCGTGGTTTGGAGAAGCACGTTTCATCATCGCCAACAAGGCGTGGCTCCGTGGTGGAAGTCCGAGCACGCCTTGCTTGGCCGAGATGAGGACGGCTGAGCAGTTGGAAAGGCTACCACCGCCTCTTGTGTCTGGCCGGCTTATGGTACCTCGGCCTAATTTGTTTCGGTGATAAGGGCTCCTTACTCCTCTCTTTTTAACCATTTCTTGTTCTGCAGTTAATGGATTAGGTTGATTTGAGGTAGTGTTGGATCTGGTTCAGGTGAGGGTCCCAAGAGGAAGTCTGTCACCCTGGTCTTCCTCTGCTGCTGTATCTGTATGTCGGTTCGAAGTTGAGTAGCTGGCCTAACCCGTTCGCGATATCGAAGCGCGGCGCGGAGTGCATCTAGGTTGGAATAACTATGCTGCGACTTTAGATGGTCCAAATCTGTATATTGAAAAAAGCCAACGGTTAGCACGGTGCCAAACTTATAAACAGAGTAAAAAGGCACAAAACTAAGCCGAGGTATTTATACCGGCTACTCCTTTATTCCAGTTGATGCAGTCTCCTGGTATTTGGACTTCCTGGTCCTCAAAGTTACCAGTAACCCAGAAAAAATCGTCGTCATTTACATCTTTGTCTGGGGTGTTCTTTTTATCTTTCTTGGCGGCGTCTTATTCTTAGGTAATATACCCAGCCATCTTCATTCTGGTCAAGGGAGTATTGGTGGAATAGTTCGGCTAAACCGAGGTTAAGGCCAACCGGCGCATTTAGCTCGGCGATGCCATTTATTATTCTGTATGAATTGGTGCTAAGTTGGTTGGGCATATCCTAGTTTGCCTAAGGAATTCGCAAAGAAGAGGTTGAACAGGGAATCGAAGTCCGGCTTCAACGATGGAAAGGACAGTGAAGGGAACGAAGCCCGATTTTTCCCATGGAGTCGTGTCTAGCTTCGCTAGTGGAGAGGTGGACGTCATTAGGGATGTTGTAGTCCTTCGGAACTCGGCTATAGCCCCTGGAGAGTTTACTAAAAATCTATATTTACCCATGTGGATTAAATTAGGTAAAAATTAGCTTCGTGTTGAAAACGAGTGGAGTATCTCGGTTGAAGCGTTCAAAGGAGTGCTTGGGCAACCAAGTCAGTCTGCAAAGTGAAAAGGAAAAGTGTTAAGCACAGATCGTTGGACCGTGCTAAGTATAAAGGCAAGATAAGTATAAACCTAGCTCGGCTATGAGGAATAATATGTTTTTAGTCGGTTGGGGCAAAGGACTTTAGCTCGAATAAATGAAACTAAAGGTTTGGCACGTAATTCTAGTTCGGTCATTTGAAGAAATTATCTAGTTTTGGCATGAAGTTTCAGTTCGGTTATTGAAGAAGTTATCTAGTTTGGCTGGATGCACACCTAAAGTTCCCTAGTTCGGTTGTACCTAACCGTAGAGTTGCCCAAACAGATTTTTAGCCCGGTCACACCACGATTCTAGATTCAAACTTCATATTTTTTGAATCCAGAGGGTGTGTTCTTAAGCACGAACCTATTGATTGGGGTCTGGTTTATTGGTACTATTTGTTCTTGCCCATTCATCAAAACTACAGAGTACGTTTTGTAGAACATATGAATATATGCATCTATACTACATATATTCACGAAATGAATAGGAAAATAGAGGATTTTAGTCACTTAGGGTGTGTTTGTTGGGGGGATTATCCACTATTTGGATTGTAATCCAAATAGTGCTCCTTATCCGTCGTTTGATTTTTTTTTAGTCCGGCGGACTCCATGTTCGGCCGACTCCATGTCCCCCATATGGGGGACTATCCTGTCCTGGGGGAGGGTGGGACAGAAAGTGGGGGACTAATCACTGTTTGGATTATATGCGAAAATGACCATTTTGACCCTCTACTATTTAATTATGTATTATATTTAATAAAATTCAATAAAATTTAAATGTCTCAATTTAACAATAAAATAATTTATTTAACTTTTTATTAATGTTTTATTATTAATTTTTTAAATAATTTTTTATAGATATTTTATTGATGTTTTATTTTTAAAATTTTGTTTATGTTTTATTTAATTTCATGTTTAAATTTAATAGATGTTTTAATAGATGTTTTATTTAAACAATTAAATGTTTAATTTCAACAATAAATAATTTCATTTATTTAAATTATGTTTTATTAAACATTTAAACATTTGTACATCAACATTTTATTAAACTATTTCAACATCTGTACATCAACATGTATATTTATTTAACATCTATTAAATTATGTTTTAATACGTCAACATTTGATTACATCAACATTTGTTAATTGTTTAAACATAATCTGTACATCAAAATAATTTCAATGTTAATTGTTTAAATAAAAATTTAAACATTTAACCATTAGTATGTTTAATTTAACAATAAATTTTTATTTGTTTAAATAAAAATAATCTATACCAGTCAAATTTTTTATCAATATTAGTATGTTTAAATATCTTTAAACAAAATTTAACCATTAGTATGTTTAATGTTACTAAAAATAATTAAAATATTAAAGATATGTTTAATATTGCTATTACATAGTAAACAATTGAAAAAGGGTAAAATAGTCTTTTGTTCATTATCCTATCCAGTCCGTCCAACCAAACGTTGGATTCACTGAAAATAGTCCTATCCAGACATCTAATCCCATGAAAAAACAAACACAGGATACATATCCAATCCGACCAAATAGTCCGGGGGATTCACAGTCCCAAGACTCAAGTCGATGGATTCTAATCCCCCCTTTTCCAGTCCGTCCAATCAAACACACCCTTACAGTATTGGAAGAAGAGGATAAGGCTCCAAAACGATGAAGATGCCAGACGAGAGCACAAGCTTTGCAGGTACAACATTGAGGAAAATGGAGGCTCAGAGGGAAAAAGAGAAGGCATATGAATAGTGATGTGTTCTGATTTGAAGAGTAGAGTTTGGTTTTGAGTAAGGCATGAGTTTAGGCAAGACTGTTCAAATTTTGCGAGGTACGAGGGCGGCTATGGCAGCTGTAATTAACCAATAAAGACTTGCCACGTGTCCATGAGAATCGTAAGCGATTCAATTTTACAGCGACTGAAAGGACGTTTTTGACCGAACCAATTGGTAGCTCGGTGATAACTTAGCTCAGTTGAAAGTCTCAAGTTTTAGCTGGTAGCAGGTAATCCCAATCATGCTACGCAGATGGAATTAAGGGGCAATTGAAGAGAGAGTTTTATGTGCATTAGGGCCGAGCTAGGCCAAGGCGTAGTAATGGGCTGTTCTATGGGCCGCGGTAAAAAGGGCCGATTGAAAGGACCTTACAGTTAGCTCGGTCCAAAGGTAGTTGCAGTTACCACAGTGGAGTGGTAAGAATTAGCTCGGTCATGGTATTCAAATCCGAGGTATTTGGGCTTCTCATGGTGGACCTTGCTCTCGTTAGCTCGGTCAATGCTTGTTGTAGTTAGCTCGGTCTAAACAGACCAATCTAAGGTGCAAGTGAGAGGAGAACCGAGCTATGTCATATAGTTGGGAAGGCGCTGGACTAAGTATGACAAAAGACTAGTGTTAGCTCGGTTATATTGTCATCCAACCGTGGTAAGACCATCTCACTGGGTTTAAGCAGTGAGGAGTGTGAAGGATAAGCTTGAAGCATTATCTTTCAGGAGTGTGATTCCTATGAGGACTCTGCATGGAGGAAAAAGAGTCTTACTAGGATTATGTCAGGCAAAAGTTATAAAACTCACAACAGAACCTATGGAGAGGTAACACAACTTTGATCCCCGAATATACAGAGCTTTTGTCTATTTGTCTATTTTGCTGACTTAGGCATCGGAGAGGTATTCGGCACACACCCGCCAGCTAGCTCACGTTTGTGCTTTCAGGGAGTAAAGCGACAACGTTTAGAGGAGCGTAGACTTGATCAACAGGATTATACAATAAGATAATTTCGTGCTCGTACATGCACTAAACAGTCTAATACAAATTATCAAAAATAAATAAATATTAAATTTAAAATTAAAAAAAAAAAAAAAAAATTTAAAAAAAAAAAAAAAAATGAAGAAGAAGAAGAAGCAATAAACAACTCCTAGGCAAAAAATTGAAAAATTATAGAATACTTCTAAGATAAAGAATTACAAAAATCTCCTATATGAACTTGACAAGTAAAGATGGGGTAATGACAAACCATTCACATTAGCCGCAGTGAGCAATGAGAATATATCTAATTACTGAAAGAGGATGGAAACAAAGCATTAAATAAGCATTTGCTAGACATTAATAGCAGCATCATGCATAAATGGCCAATGGCAAATCAACAATAATAGCAACAGAGAAAACATTCAAAATATTCACAAAGGGAAAAAGAACAAGTGACAAAATATTTTCAGATGAATGAAATTGACTGGAGCTTCCACAAATCATATACATCCCAAAAGAAGAAGAAAATGTTCACTCAGAAAATGGCCTCAAATCCACAAAATGCATCAATACAGAAAGAATGCATCAATAACCAAAAAAAATCTTTCTATGTAGACTTTCAACAAACACATAGAGTGAATCAATACAAAAATACCAAAATCATGTTTGAAACAAATTAAGGGGCCTGGTGATATGAAGCAAACAGGAGCAAAATCATAGACTAAGAAAATGTCAACCAATGTAAAGCAAAGAATATGTTTGAAGCAATACCTCAATACTAACCCATGAATCAGTTGCTTCTTAGTGGGTGGAGGCTGAAATTTTCAGAGAAACTAGAGGAATTGGATCTTCTTCGTCGTCGATGGCCACCTAGGTCGTCGTCGTCGTCGTCGGGGTCAAGCCCTCTGGGTCGTGGTCATCTCTCTCTCTCTATCTCCTAAATACGCTGATTTGTTTTCTCTTGGGTCTTCAAGGCGCGTGAAATGTACACAGGGTTTGGTGCAAGAATGGACTACCAGCTCAATTCAAGCCATTCGCACCTCTATCTCTCGAGGTCTGTAGCAGAACCGAATTTGATTGATAACTACCCTAATAAAGTTCACATGAATGAGTGGACCCCACTTAATGGAAGCATCTAGAAGCAACACCCAACTCCTAACAATGAAAGGCTTTTAATCAATTGAGACTAGTCTAATTAACAAACATTTTGTTCAAAAAAAACAAAAAAAAAAACAAGTATAAGTTCAAGGCTATGATGTATGCTAAGCCAAGATGAGATGTGGATACCATACCTGTGGAAGAAGTCTCTCTTATAACGCGCATTTATAGTTAGTAACAAGCCTGTAAAAGCAAATATTTCTAGAACACTCCAATCAAATTAGCAAAATCAATTCATCTATAAGAGTTATCCAAAAAAAAAAAAATGAATTCATCTATGGGGCAAAAATAATAGATCAAACCAATATAACTTGCTTCTATAAAACACCAAGTAAAACTTTGGCACGTCTTATCATGAAAAATTTTACTCCAAAAAGAAACAGTAAAAACTGTCATATTATAGCATAATAAACTTATCCCAATGCCATAAGGCTGAAATAATTGATTATATAAGTACAATAACAGTGTAAAAATGTTTTCTCCATTTTCTGAAAAATCCAACATGCCGCTGCTTGAGCTAAATGACTGAAAATGCAGAGCACATACATGAACTAACCAGAAGTTGTGTCCCCACCGAAACCCGACTCCAGATATTCGGTTTGGCTAAGATGACTAACATCACCCCAGGACTTTATGGTCCAAATATCCCCATCAGACAAGTGAAATATGTTGACAGACGTGTTCAGTACCCTACCGGGCTGCCCACTTGGGGAAGCCAGCTCATAAAGTGTTCTAATGACACCACCATGAGTGACCATGACTACTCGCTCTCCTGCAATGGATATATGCAACAATGCAGAAATATAATACAATGAGCCATTCTGCTTTTAAAAGCTTGATCATGGGTAAGCAACCTTAAACTTGAAAAGGTTAAAATGTCAATGTTAAGACTCAAATAGAATCAATAGGAATAAGACAACAGGCTCATTAATCTACTAGTACCTTTATGCTTGCTACCAATTCTCTCCAGTACAGATGTGCAGCGGTCATAAAGTTGATCAAGACTTTCTCCACCACCCTGCAAATATAGTACAAAAAAACATAATGGATCAATGGAAACGCCAAAGTAGGCTTGACACCAAGCGACATTGCATAATGTATTCATAATCATGTTTATATAGTCCCTCTCCACGTTACACAGACTCTTCAGAATTTTGGAGGTACCTGTGTCGACACGACACGACACGAGTACGGGCCCGGGATACAGCTGGGATACGGCACTTTACAAACGGATACGGTTATATTCAAAAGAAACAAAAGAGAAGAGAGCAAGGTGAGAACCTAGTCGCGACTTCGACAGGGTGAAGATCTGTGTCGTCATCTCTCTGTCTTCATTTGTGTCAATCTCCTCTTTTCTCTCTCTGTCTTCTCTTCTTCTTCTTCTTCTTCTCTCTCTCTCTCTCTCCCCCTCTGTTTCTAACATATAATAAATAAATAATATAATTTGTTATATAATAATATATCTAATTAAATCATATATATAAAAAAAAAAAAAATTAATAAAATCTATAAAATAAATCATCCAATTTTATTTTTTTTTATTTTAACGTATTTTATTATTCCTTATTTGTTAAATTTTTTATTTATATTATATATATCAATTAAAAATAAAAAAATAAATTATATAGATAAATTAAAAATATTATCAATAAAAATAATACATAAGATAAAAAATAATAAATAAATTTAAAAAATAACTATTTATCATATCCCTGTATCCGTATTCAAATTTGGATCTATATCCACATATCTTCAATTTTTAATTTTGAAGTGTCCGACCCCTAGATAAGCACCCGCACCCGCACCTGATACCCACACCCGAGTCCGTGTAACGTAAACTACGAGTTTAAAAGCTCCTCCAACCATCTAACATGTATAAATTTGTTTCTGGCCATGCACAAAAGGAAGCACCGAATTGGTCACAGCCTGACCTATTAAGCAACCATATCCTACACTGCTTCTGTTCAAAGACAAACGTGCAATTAACTATTTATTGATCATAACTTCACAAGAACAAAGCTCTCACTGGGATTTCTTGGTCTGTCCTACGAGATGAAAAAGCTCGGTAAGCCTTGGGACAAACTTTGGCCGCTTCATGGTGTACAAGACCTTGAAGATCTCCCAAATGTCTTTCCCGTAGGTCCGGTTCTTTAATAATCTGACAAAAAAAATAAAAAGGAATGAGACGGTTGACACCCTAAGATCAAATCCAAAGATATGATTGAACTTTTCTAACTTGCAACAATGGCATGGCTTCATGAATAAATCAAAACCTAAGATGGCCAGAACATAGTTTCTTAATCAATCAAAGACATATCATTTATTCCAATTGCCTATTTCTCCTTCAATGAAGACTACTATTTAACATACCAAGAACATGTCAGCTATTACAACACTCAGAAGGTATGATCCTAATTTCAAATAGCATTCCTGTTGTCCAAATCTACAACTATAATCCAAACCAAACCAAACCAAACCAAACCTTAAGTCCCATCAAATGGGGTCATCTACAATCTGCAACTACAATCCACTTCAATTAAATCTATCAGTGTTCCAATGATTTGCTTCAACCTTTCTAATTATTTCAAAGCACCAACCAAATTCATATGAATATCCTGAAAAGCTCTTCAGGACCAAAGTCTCTAAAAAGAAATCAAACAATAGAAATCCAAATTAACCAAACATGTAACCGTGAGAAGTAAACAAGGTGACCATAGACTGCAAGACACATTTAACCCCTAACAGAAATTGTCAAACCTAATCACGTTTAAGTTTTACACAAGGTACTACAGTGAATACATAAGATGGTGGGATTTAATCAATCAATGATGTTGAATTGCCTCTTCTACATTCCACATAACTTCATAGATGCATCATCATGATGCATGTGACAGCCATTTTGTTTGTCATTATCAATTCCCAAATGCTGCCAATGCAAGTCAAATATTTCTTTTACCCCTTCGAGTTGATTCCACATTATAAATCTAGTTTAGCAGAACTCTACATATTGCCAAAACAAATGATTGGTCAGAAAATTGAATAAATAAATGCATTAAATTAAGCCATACATAACTGATAACTTACTCTTGTCTTTTTATTTTTAACTACTAAGGAGTGCCACATTTTCAATGTCATTCCATATTCATACCTCCAAACCGCCACAGCTGCTTGCTATTGCCTCTGCTGTATCAAGGGCTCTCTTCAAGTCAGACGAGTATACAATAGAGACCTTACGCTCCCTAGATAATCGATGAGCTACCTTCACAGAGAAATGAATAATTTGTCAAGCAATGTAAAGGCCAAGTGTGTACAAGCATGTTTTATGATTCATTACTTACTGCAGTTGCTTGCGCCCTCCCAACATTATTTAATTCAACATCCAGCTGGCCCTGGTTAAAAATATATAAATAAATTAATAAATAAACAAAATAGAGATAAATCTGACCAGAAACTATACCTCTAATGCAGATATAGTGGGTATAGAAGGAAATTATGGAGAGAGAGTGAGAGAGAGAGAGAGAGCAGGGTTTATTTATTTATTATTATTATTATTATTCACAACCTTCAAATGGAAAACAAGAATATTATCTTGTTTTGTTTGGATTTTCAGGATCTACTTTTCAGAAAATTGAAATTTATTCATTGTTTGGTTCCAGTTTTCAGAAAACAGTTTTCAAAAAATTCTACTTTTTATTTTTCGTATTTTAATGTTTTCAATGAATTTTTTTCATATTTTAATATTTTTTTAAAAATATTTTAGACACACCTAACATAAATACACTTAAAAAGTATAATATTTGTGAAAAAAATCTTTAAAAAATATACTAAATACCAAAAAATATAAGTAAAAAAATACGAAAATTCAATACATTTTCGTATTTTTGTGTATTTATTAATTTTTTAAAATATTTTGTCACAAATATTTTACTATTTTAGATACATCTAAGTAAGGTGCATCTAAAAAAGTAAAAAAATTACTTAAAATTTTAAAAATATTCACTAAAAACAAGAAAACATGAAAAACAAAAAACTCAATTTTTAAAAAACTGAATTCAGAAAACTGAACCCAAACACACTGATTGTTTTTTGTGTTTTTTTGTTTTTACTGAATTTTTTTAATATTCTAAGCAATTTTTTTAATTTTCAGATACACCTAATATAAATACACTTAAAAAGTATAATATTTGTGAAAAAATCTTTAGAAAATTCATTAACTATCAAAAATTCAAAACAAAAAAAAAAATATGAGAATTCAGTATATTTTTTATATTCTTGTACATTTATTGATTTTTTAAAATATTTTTTTATAAATATTTTACTTTTTTAGATATATCTAAGTAAGATATATCTAAAAAACGTTAAAAAAAATTTCTTAAAATTTTAAAAATATTCACTAAAAACAAAAAAACATGAAAAACAAAAAACTTAATTTTTAAAAAATTAAATTCAAAAAATTAAAACCAAACACTGATTGATATTATTACAAAAATAGTAATCATAAAAAATACAAATTTTAGAAAGAGGATTGTTGGGAAACACGATCGTGTACTAATACATCTACAGTAACATAGTGGGAATTTAAGGACTCTTTAGGCTACAAATTTTTATTCATCATTTTCATCCTGTTATGTTTGGGATTCAAGTGTCTCACATCTTACTGTTATTGATCCATTGACACAGCACACAGCTATTGAGAGTCCATTTGATTAAGTATGTAATAAAAGAAAGAAAGGACAACCAGAAGTAGGAAATGGAACAAATAATAGAAAGGATGAAAGCATCCTTCTCTCTTGTTTGGATAACTAAAGATAAAGTTGAGTTGCTTCAACCATGTTCTCAGCACTGTTGCACACTCTTTCAACTGCTACAAATCTCTTCTTTTCACTCCTTGTGCCATGTGTTGCTCCTACTCTTTCTAGAGCCACTATTCCCCATAGCAAGGTTTGAAAAGCGGTTGCGGTCGCCGTAATGGTGACGGTTGCGGTTGCGGGGTGTTTAACGGTGCGGTAACCGGAACCGTGAATTTTTTTATTTTTCGCACAATTTAAAAAAACTTACCGATACGCATATATTTTTTCTCGTTCCATGATGATCATATTTATTGGGTTAAAAATTAAAAAAAAAAAATTTCGCCAGATCTCGGACAAACAGACCATTTGAGCTCACATCTCATGACACTGTCTTCTCGTGCGTATATGACTAAATCCATAGCCTTTGCGAAGTGAATGTGAGTTCAATATATTCAATAATTTTAATCACCTATAAACTGAGTTTTTTATATTTTAATTTTTAATAATTAATGACTTTAGTATGTATACAAAAATCAATCACTAACTATTTACTATATAAGGATACAACACTTGGACAATATAGTAAGGAGAATAACATGCATAATGGAAAGGACCCTAAATAATATAATATAATATACCTCATAATCTATACATATTTTTAACCAAAATCCAATAAGATAAATGACCCACACTCATCGGATTATATTATTATTATCATTTTCAAACAATATATAGATAGACACACACAAACAAAATGGTTTAGTGATAACAGCTGAATAGAATAGCATAGGTCTTACAGTTTCAACAAATCAATAACATGTTCATCTTCCCTTTTCTCTCTCTCTATCTCTTGCTCCTCCATTTTCTCTCTTTATCTTCCCTCTTCTCTCCATCCCTCTTCTCCCATTTTCAGTTTTTTTTTATGTATTTTTTTAAAAGAAACAGTTTGGAACCTTTACGTAACGGTGCGTAACAGGCCGTTACGGCTATTACGGCGCCGTTACGACCGCTACGGCAGCCGCTACGACCGACACACCTGTGAATCTCATTCACACTGCAAAAGCGGCCGCAACGGGTGGCGGTAACTGCCAAAACCGTTACGTAACGGTTACGGCCGCTTTTTAAAACCTTGCCATATAGAGACCCATGTATTACGGCACCGCTACGACCGCTACGGCAGCCGCTACGACCGACACACCTGTGAATCTCATTCACACTGCAAAAGCGGCCGCAACGGGTGGCGGTAACTGCCAAAACCGTTACGTAACAGCGTTACGTAACGGTTACGGGCGCTTTTTAAAACCTTGCCCTATAGAGACCCATGTAAATTGCATTGAGCATATTTAGGAGTAGATTTCCATCTACATCTACGTGTCCCATACCCATAACCACCCTTCAACGCTTGGTGCTCTCATTTTCCGTTTAAAACATTAGTGGGTTCGATCTTATCTTTTTCTCTGTCACACACATGTCCGACATTGTAATTGCCCATTGACCATGCCCAACATGGGAGTTCACAGTGTGCATGTCACCTCTGCACTTGTCACTACCCCATGACATGCACCACCATGGATCCACTCTAAGTTCTAGGCAACTAGAAGGCATAGCATGATGCCTTCCCTCAGCACTCTCAACACTTTTCATACTTGTGAATGGACTGCCAAATATACAAGGTTTGTTTTATTCGTTGTGAGGCCTATTCAGTTTGTTAGTAGACATGTTTAGTTCAATACAAGGCATCCCAAATCTACTACCAGGCAAGTTGAATTTGCTACAAGGCCTTAATTCCTGTGCCAATCTCTTTTGTGAATATTAACCCTCCATGTGGACAATGCCATTTTTGCAACAAACAGAAGACATCGTGTTTGTGTCAAGTTGTACTATTTCACAATATTACCCAAAATATTCGGAATAAATTTTCATCCAGAACAGATCAGTGCTAGTCCAAAACTACTAAATTTAATGTATTAAACCCTAAACTGCCTCATATAATGCCTGAAAGGACATAGATGCCAATTATTTGAATACTTGATGCAATAAACAAACATCCCAATTTGGTCATAATTGAAACGTATGTATATATATATATATATATACCAAATTCCAACCAAAAAAAAACAAATATATATATGTTGTAAATGATAAAAGTGAAGCAAGCAGACCTGCATTCTCTTCGTGGCATTAAACTCTGTTTCACCATGACGTATTACAACAATCTCCGCATAGGCAGCGGATTCGTTGGATTCAGATGTGCTGTCACCGTTGTAACCAAATTGATGCAAAACCCTAACCCAAAAAAAAACGTACAAATGTTTCAAAACTCAAATAATCACACAACTAAAAATCCCAAAAAACAAAAACAAAAACAAAAAACGACGATTGAAACTCCTGATTTTCCCTTATTTGGGGAGTTTCTGTCTGTTTAATATTAAAAATTCGAAAGACCGAGAGAATTAGAATCAGAAATCGCATAATAGGGAATTATACATGAATGTCACATGTATAAAACTATATAAATGTAAATATATGTATGTATGAGCACCTGGAATCGAAATCCGCCATTGATGAGTGAAGGTTAAGGTGTGTGGTTTACGCTTTCGAGATGAGTGAGGAAGAACGAATGCTGAAGGAATACTGCGAAGATGCAGGTACGAATTGTTGCCTAGTATATTATAAATATCAATATCAAAAAATAATTATTATGTATTAATAATTATTACTCCCTCCGTCCCAAAATATTAGTCCCTTATTCCATTTTTCATTGTCCCAAAATATTAGTCCCTCTTTATAAATCAAGTACAAAAATAATGTAAATTTCCTATTTTGCCCTTCTTTTAAATTAATAAACAATTTAAAAAGTACAATTATGACATTGATATTCCCAAAAAATGTACTATCAAAAGGGTAATTTTGGAAAACTAACTTTTTTCAAATGCAATAAGTGTACTACCAAAAAAAGTTGGATTCCCCAAAAGGGACCAATATTTTGGGACGGAGGGAGTATTCCCTTTATTCATTAATTACATGACAAATATTAAAAATATATATATATTTTTAAAATTATATTATAATATTAATTAATATATTAGTTAGTGACTAAGGTCAAGTTTGACATCCTCTAAAACTTTTAAAAAGTCAAAAAGTCACTATCCTATTTAAGTCACATCACTTCTCTAATACATCATTTCAAACCCAACCCAAATTCAACCCATATTTCATAAAAAGTCAAAAAATACACTTATTTAGTCTTTCCAAACTTGACTTAATTATTGTGTATAACATGCTCCGCCAACTGTACACTTGCGCTTTCAGCAATTTCGTGGACAGCGCATAATAGCATTTATATAGTGTTTGTTTTCGCTCCTTAATTTTTCAATCCCACACAATCTTTGGGCTGGCTTATCATCAAAATTTGGGCCATCTCAATATTGGGCTTGGTTATCGGAAAAACAAGTTTGGGCCATCTTAAGCTATTTCTGCCCATATAAACGCGATACAAATGAAAGAAGCCTACCCATGATAGGCTGGAGTGATTCTATTTTCACCTAAAAAATCTTTTACGTACATTCAATTTTTTAATACGTTTTTATTAAATTATTTAGGTTATAAATTACTTTCAATGCACTATATGGCTCTGTTTAGTAGAATTTTGAATGTTATTTTCAGGTTTTGATTTGCACACCATATTTGTTTATGATTTTTAAAAATTAATTCTACACTTATTTTTGAAAACTCTATCCAAGGCAGAATAATTTCGGCTAACCGGACGTCCGACAGTCCGGCCAGTTGACAGGAACAGTGCATAATTTATTTATTTTTTTAATTGACACATGTTAATTTTTATATATTCAATAAAAAATATTTTCCGAATTTTGAATAGAATTTTAAATTGTGTGTTTGGTTATGAATCATAAATTTTTGTATCATATGTCACATCAAAAATTTCTCACTCAATTCAAAACTCATTCACCAAACAAATTTTTCACACTCAAATCATAATTCCAAAACTCACAAACTCAAAATACAATTCTATTCTCAAATTATATTTAGAAAACTCTACTAAACACAACTTATATTTTTTTTCTAAATTACCCTTCAAGCTACACCCAAATAATAAACAAATCAAAAACACCAAATTTACATCACTTTGAAAAACCTTTCATACATAGCACAAAAGCAAGTAGATATATATAACCAAGTAGCAGTACATACTTACATACATAGCACAAAAGCACAAGCTAACTACAAATCAAACTGAAAAACAAAAACAGAACAGCAAAGAAAAACAAAGTTCATCCTGCCATGACCCTTCTCGCAAGGTTGTGAGCAGGTTGAACCACCATCTGTGAGACTTTGCAGACTTTCAACACCTGGAATTGTTTGGATAAGTCTAGGATGTCGTCCATCACAGTAACTGTGCCGTGTTTTAGATGTTTCAACAATGCGTGCTTTTATTATGTGAATGTTGTTTGGGTAATTGATATATACCAATCACGGAATTAATAGCATCACAATAACAATAGGAGATTTTTTTTTGTCACAAATCAACCATTTTTTATGATTCAAAATTTTAATTTTACTTTTTCTTACTTTCATGACTCAAAATTTTGATTTTACTTTTTTTAATAAAAAATAATGATATTGATGATAATTGTGAGTTTTGGTAAAATGGATTAGAGTTTAAGAAGTGAGGAAGAAGATGACGAAAAAATAATAAAATTTTGAAAAAAATATGAAGATGGTTGAATATACGTATAAGTGTTTGGGTGTACCATGAGAAAAAAAAATTTTATTTTAGAATTCAATATTTATTGTCTTTATTAGTAAATTTAAATTAGAATATAACAGAAATAAAAATTTCAAAATTTTAATTAGACATATTGAGTTATTATTTTGATGCAAATAGAATCACCCGATAGAGAGGATGATTAGACTCCTTACACTTCCTGTTGGGATTCAAAATTTTCTGGTTACAAATTATATTTTTTTAAATATATTTAATTTACTTTTTTCAAATATAATAAGGTTAAAATATTAAAATATTATACATAACATATTTTTTACTTATTTATTTGTCATTTTATATATATTTTTTATTTTCATTACTTACAAATCTTTATTGGTAATATATCATAATATATCATATCATCTCTTATTTTTATATATCTTATTATCTCATATTTTTATTAGTACATCTCATCTACAATAATATAAAAGAGAATGATGACTTGTCTCTAGTTGTGAATTCAATTGGATTAGACAATTAAAATCTCTCATCAATCAAAATTAATAAAATATTCTAACTCGGCGCTTGATTAGATTTTCTTTTCGCTCAAAATTATAGAGAGATTTTGACTTATTTTATTTGGGTCACTTTTTTATAAATTTATTTTTATTTACTTATATTTCATTTAATTTATATTATTTTTTTATATTTTAATAAATTCTATGAGTGATATAATTATCAAAATATTCTTAATAATAATATTCACAATTACAGTGTTAATGTTTCATGATGTGAATATTCACATTACCAAATTACTAACCGTTTAAAAAATATTTGTAAGGGTAAAAATATTCATAAAATGCTTTAAATATGAGAATTAGGATTTGGTTAATCAAATGTCCAAATAATAGAATTTATTAAAATATAATAATATCTTATAGACTAATGGGTTGTTTTGGGTATCATAAATAAATGCACTTTTTGACTTTTTGGACCAAAAAGTTGAGGAAAAAAAAATGATCGTTTGGGATAACTTTTTGACTTTTACGAAAAAAATATATATTAAAAAATTATATAAATTAGTGTATATGAGATGATTACGATGGATTAGGGTATACGGTGGGATTGAAGGTGGGACAGCATGTGCAGAGAATGGAAGGAGATGGTTCCCTGCTTTTCGGGCAGTGAATTGAAGGTGTTGTTCGGCCCGTGGGGGCCTACCGCGGGTCTCATTTTGCTAATCAAAGTCGTTCAATGTGTAAAACTCGTCGAGTACTATATGTTTGTAAAAATCACGTTGATCGGATATCGATAGCTATCTGATCGGATTAGTTTTTTTTCAACCGTTAACTATAATACCATCCATTTTATAAATTTTAACTGATTTGATCATATACTTACCGATATCTGATCAATGTGATTTTTTACAATCATATAGTACTCGACGAGTTGTACATATTAAACGGTTCAAATTATTAAAACGGGACTCGTGATGGGTCCCCACGGGCCGAACAGCACAACGTTATTTGTGCACCTAAATCAGTGCAATTTTTCTAAAATGTGATCTGCGCCTGTGGAATGTCAGAATTGTTTGAAAATTAATTTTTTAATTTTTTTTTTTGATAAATAGTGATAACTTTTTAACTTCTTAAGTAATTTTTTAATTTTTTGACTTTTTTCCATTATCCCAAACCATGTCTAATTAGAATACAAACACTTAAAAAAATATTTTCAAATAAATCTCTCACTTTATTTATATGACAAAATTTGAGTGTTGAATTCACAACAGTTAGAAATTCAACTGTGGACAAATCATTCCCAATATGAAATGGAGTGAAGTGCTACAAACTCAGAAGTTTTTTGGGAAATTAGGAAAAAGTCAACTTTAAATTTTTTATTTATTTTAAATTATATTATTCACAAAAAATAAAATTAATTTAAAAAATTAATTTTTTATTAATTTTTAAAGAGCCGTGTTAGGGACCTCCCGTTGGGGTGAACCCAGCACCCCACTCCACGGGGAGGCTGTGGACCAAGAAAAAATCAAAAAAACAAAAAAATTCAACCAATCACGTACTATCAGATCAGCTGGGGTCACTGAGGGTCTTTAAAATTGGGAGTGCAAGTGATTTTTCATTTTTTAAACCCCCCAATTGCCATTCATAAAGCTTAATGATGGGCATGATGGTGATTGTGTTAAATAATCAATGAGGCAACTTTATTCACGTGATCCTTCTCCTTCAATAAGGTAGTCTGATGGGTGTCGCTGTCATATTCACATGATGGAACTCTTTGAATGAGGAAGCCTAGTGGGTAGGGAAACCCTTACAAATCAAATAAGACTAGTGAAATTATGGTCTTATTTGGAAATTAGAATTTGTAATCAAAAAATTATTATAAATTATTAAATTTTTATATTTATTTTTTATATATTTTTTATTAAAAAACTAAGAAGTTATTAAAAAATAAATTCTCAAACACTCCTTAAGAATTTATTTGACTAAGGCCTCGTTTGGCAAGAGGTTATTTTAGCCAATTAGTCAAAAAGTTACTAAATTAGCCAAAAAGTCAACAACTCATACCAAAAAGTCAAAGATTCTCTTTTCTCTCTACTTTTTGCACATCTTTTCGTAATTAGCCAAAAAGTCATCCCAAACATACAAGTTTTTTTTACCTATCTTTTTAGCCAAATAGCCAAAAAGTTACTAAATTAGCCTGTTCCCAAACGAGGCCTAAGAAGTGGGTTGACTTTTTGGCTTTTTGGCTTTTTGGCTATTTTAGCCTGGGCTATTTTAGCCTGGTTTGGGAAGGGCTTTTTGGCTTTTTGGCTTTTTTGACTTTTTTTTGTGAGAGAGGATTGTAATGATTATGGGTTGGATTTGATGTTTTGTTTTTTGTGGCTAAAATAGCCTATTTTGTTTTTTGTGGCTATTTTAGCCAAAAAAGCCTGGGCTTTTTCTTGCCA